GTACCGGCAAGACCATGTTGGGACGATGATAGCCTCTAAAGTGAATGCCACTTTCATAAACGTGTCGGCATCAAGTCTTTCTCGAAATGGATCGGGGAGAGTGAGAAAATGGTGAATACTTATTCCAAGTGGCTGATCATTACCAACCAACAGTCATATTCATTGATGAGGTAAAACATCAATACCATGGAGCCGATGATGGATCACGTCATGCTCCCCTCATCGATATGTTGCGCCTATCTCACATCACACCACTCGACTAGCAGCTGCTGCGTTTATTCCACATCATTTTGCAGGTAGATAGTATTCTCGGTGCAAGATCCGAAGGGGACCACGAGTCCACGAGACGATTAAAGAATGAGTTCCTTGCCGCTCTGGATGGTATCACCAGCAGACCCGAGTCTCGAATACTCTTCCTTGGAGCGACCAATCTACCCTGGCAGATTGACGCTGCCGCATTGAGGAGATTCCCCAAAAAGCTGTAGGGTATCTAACAAGAAGATCATGATTCTCTTTGATTTGGCCCTCACTGGATATGATCGTTCCACGAAGCCCATAGCATTGACACGTAACACAAATGCTGTTATATAGTTATAGATGATATAGTGATACAGTTTCAGTAGTGTTACAGTTATGGTGAATGCAGTTTAGGTGATGCCCAGCTGGTGCGATCAGGTACACCCCGCTGCCCGGCATAGGAGCTCGGAAGTATCTAATCACCAGGTTACTGGATCTACATCATGCTAGCATATTGACTGAGACACCAGCCGGTTTCAATGAAGAAGTCATACATCGAGTGTCAGAGAGTACCGAGGGATATTCTGGGAGTGACATCAAACAGTTGATGTGCGCCGCTGCGATGGTAGGGCATCAGATTCTGATAGCGACGAACTACTTTAGTATGAGGCATAAACTCAACTGGGCGATTTTACCGAGTCATGAGGACTCGCTATACTTAAAGCTCTGCCTTGGGCGAACTTGTATCGTGATTTTGATGGTACTCCTAGGTACCCATACGGGAAGCCTTGGCCAAAATTG